AGGAATCAGAGGAGCGAACCAGACCTGGGATGTTTCTGGTGTTGTCCCAGACACGGGCCCCAGGGAGGCAGCACACCTCCCTATGGGTCGGGTCTGCAAATGAGCCCCTCAGTTCCCCTGGAAGGGAATCGCCAAACACAATTACCCTCCTGCATTTCCTGACAGAGGCAATCTCAAGGCGTGGGGGTGAACGCCTCACCTTCGGCTCCCTCCTAGGCAGATCCTCCCTCGCCTCCCCCCTCAATTGCCAGCGTCTCAAACCTGTTGCTTAGAGGGAGCTGGGGAAGCGGGGTAGGCTGTGAGAATACAAGAAAAACTGTTCAGAGCAGCAGCTGCGGAGCAAGAAAAACAGCATGAGAACCAAGGACAACTCCAGAAGAAGAAAGAACGTCTCACGGCTCTGACTGGATAAGCGCCCACGTGAACGGTTGAAGAGTGTTTTGTAGAATGCTGTTGACATGTAAAGGTGGATGGGAAAGCTGTAGGGGTGGATGGGAAAGCTAGAAAAAGAAAACTTGTGAAGGTATATAAGTGATGTGAGAACTTGTAATAAAAAGTTTGGATCGTTCACATCTGAGTCCGTGCATCAGATGCCCACTGGCGCCCACTGCGTGGGGCAAATCAAGCCGAGGCTGAGCGAACCCAGTCCGACAGTGCCACCCAACTGAATTGAGTAGAGATTGCCTGGAACACCCGCGCCCTCTTGCCATCAAAGAACACTCTGTGCAAAGTGGAAAAAGATGCCTGTGTTGGATGGAGAGCAAGTGGGAACCTCGCTGTGCCCAGCCCTGGGAAGGGCAAGACGCTGAGCTGAGCTCCTCTGCACTGACCAGCAGCACGGCTGACGTGCTGAAGGAGCAGCCAAAGGCACAGGAGGAAGAGCTGGAAGGCAGAAGGGGCAGCTCCTGCTGACCCAGCACCCCTACTGCCTTTGTTCTGTGGCAGGAGCTGATGGAAGTTGAGGGAGCTCCTCATGAAGGAAAGCAGCTAAAAGTGAACAAGCGGCAGCCAAGGGAGAGGGGGCTGGCTCACCTCCCTTTGCCTGTCAGCCACTAAATGGGAGACGCACATGGAATGCTCCCCGAGCTTGTTCCCTGATATCAGTGCCATCCCCAGCCTTGGCACTAACTGGCAATGGGGAGGATGTGGGGCTGTGACCTCAGGAGCCACCTGGTATCAGAGGCAGCAAACAGCGTCCTGCCCTCTGCTCTCCCAGCCCCTGCTCCACGCACACCATTTGGATGGGGTTAAAGGTTCTTTCCTTTTACCTCCAGATACCGACTCTGCTTCTCAGAAATCAGAGCCATTCCTGGAAGAGGCTCAGGTTCTTATGAAAAAGAAGGTGCTTCTCTGGCTCATTTGCTTTCAGAGAAGAATGTCCAATACACCTCCTAAGGTCAGGATTTGACTTTAAACGCCCAGCTGGCTTCCAGACCATTCCCGAGGATGGAGGATTCTGAGAGGTGATACCTTTGTAACCTCTTGGCAGGAACCAGCAATCTGGGAGCTCCCTGCATGCTTGTGGTCTCGTTGACAAAGAGCCTGCAGGGTTCACTGAACCCCAGGGTGCTTGGGGCTGGACCAAGATATCTCTGGGTCCCCCTGGTCCCCCCCATGCCCCAAGAGAGCCGCCCAGAGCAGGGAGCCCAGTACCATGGCCGGTGCTATGGGAGATCCCCCCGTAGGAGCCCCCACCACTCTCTGCTCCCTCTGCTCCCTGTGTCAGGGCTCCAGCACCTATCCAGCACTGCAGTGCTGCTGTTGGGCAGCTCCTGGACTCTGGACTGTGCCCTGTGCCCCTGAGCTGCCTGGGTAACGCAGAACAGAATCTGGCTCCATTCCCTTGCACCTTCTGCACAGGTTTATGGCCGTGGTGGGATCCCTGTGAGCCTCCCCTGCTCTGGGCTGAGCAGCTCCAGTTCTCTCAGCTCTCGTCCCAGCAGAGCTGCTCCAGGCCCCACAGGATCTTCGTGACCATTTTCGGGGCTATCACCAGGTTGTCCCAAACACTGTAAACATTCCAATGATATCAGTTCCTATGCAGAGCTGGTCCAGTTGGGAAACCGCTAATGAGAAAGAGAAGCGGCTCAATGTCTCTTGTCAAGAGCAGCTGTGCTTGTCCTGCTCTAGCCCTAGGGCTTTCCCTGTGCTACAAGAACCCCCTGAGCTGATTGCTGATGGTTTCAGGAATGCTTTGAGCATCCCAGTCTTCCAGAGAGGTGGATTTGGTGGTTGTGCTGTCACATGGATAAGGAATTGACTGCATGGCCATATCCAAAGAGTTCCAGACGCCATTACAGCCATCCAGCAGCTGCCAAGTTTCACTTCTGGCTGCAGCTTCAGGCAGCAGATGGCCAATCCCTGCCCCACCTGCAGGAAGCTGCAACCTGTGCAGAGGCTCTGAGCTATATAAGAGCAGGGTCAGAGCTGGGCTCATAGATCACTGGGGCTGCAGATCACTGAAAGTGCAGGTAGGTCTGGCTGTGGTGCCTGGGGTGGGGCAAGGGCACTTGCACCCA